CTCTTCAATTCACCAGTAGAACAATGTGATCGTCAGCAAGCTTACATGCCTGCTAGTGTGTTCCCTTTGAGTTTCAGTCTTAGAGGGGGGTTTGTCCTGAAGGAACATGATTACTTTCTTGATGGCTTCCATGAGAACAATTTGCTTATTCTTGTAGATGCCAGTCATGCCGACATTTTTGTTTTTGGATCTTTCTTCGAAGATGTATCTTCTGTCGCTCTAGCTTTCCAGGCTGGACTGCTTGTCCTTTCTAGTGGGAATGTCCCATCTCAGAAGGTTCTGGTTGGGGAGAAAATTGGAATTTTTCAAAAATGAAAGGAATGTGTGAAGATTGATATCTTAGGCATTGATAAATTGAAATGGATTGATACTGGCCATATTGTCTCTGACAATCATATAGTTCCTATGCCAGAAATGATAACTGGAAGTGGAATGACATTGCATCTTATCTGCAAAAGAAAAAGAATACTTCCAGATATTTCTTGAACTATAATTCTGTGAGTAATAGGATAATGTTGATATGCCTACAAGGAAGAGCAGTAAATATCACTATTATCAAATTTATTCACCAAATACTGCAGCCCGTGATGATGAAGTTGAAAAAATTCTACCATTTTCTTCACTGAAATCAAAACACAATCTAGATATAGTGATAATTACTGATGATTAGAATACAAAGTTTGGAAACAAAGAGTAAGGATTACTAGCTGGAAAATCTGCTGTTGGTGATAGAAACACTGCTGGAGATCACTTTATAAAATTATGCAAGACCAATGATTTATTTCATTGTCAATCCCATTTTAAACAACATAAAATGTGATTATGCCCTTTTATGGGATCTCACATGATGAACTACACAGAAATTAAATTGAATACAACAGCTGGAGAAGATGATGGAAAAACTCCATAACAACAGCCAGATTGTGGAATAGATCATCAATTGTTCATAGGAAAGTTCAGGCTGAAGCTGAAGGAAATGAAAACACGTCCTTGAGAACCAAAATAGGAATTGAATATATTCAACTTGAATTTAGAGATTATCTAAATAACAGATTTGATGCATCAGACACTAATGACTGAAGAGCAGAAGAGTTGTGGGATGACATCTAGAACATAATACATGAAGAAAGAAAATTGTCAGCAAGAAGACAAGAAAGAAGGAAAAGACCAGACTCAGAAACTTGTTCTCCAGCGCAGAGATATTAAATCAAGCAAAAGAAATGAGGAGGTAAAAGAGCTGAACAGAAATTTTCAAAGCACAGCTTGAGAAGACAAAGCCAGATATTACAATGAAATATCAAAATATCTGGAGTTAAAAAACCAAAAGGGAAGAACAAACTTAGTATTTCTCAAGCTGAAAGAATTGAAGAAAAAGTGCAAGCCCCGACTTGCATATTAAAATGGAGTCCTGGTGTGGTGCTACAGGTTAATGGGCTGGACTGCAAGGTTGGTTTGAACCCCAAGGTCAGCAGTTCAAGCTTATCAGCTGCACATTGGAAAGCCTATGCTGGGTCACCATGAGTCAGAATTGACTCAACGGCACTTAACAACAACAACAAAAATAGAACAAATATTGAATGATGTAGAAAGTATCAAAAAAAGATCAAAAGAATACACAGAGTCATTGTCCAAAAAAGAAAAAATGGTTGATAGTTCAACAATTTCAAGAGGTAGCATATGACCAAAAGCCAATGATACTGAAAGAAGACCCAGCTGCAGTGAAGGCATTGGCAAAGAAAAAGGCTCTGGGAATTCATGGGATATGTGTTGAAATATTTCAACAAACTGTTGTAGCCTTGGAGGCAATCACTATTATCAAGAAAAATGGAAGAGGTCTATATTTGTGCTCACTTATTTATTCATATGAAATCTGTAAATAAACCAGAAGGCAGTCATTCAAATACAAGGGAACACTGAATGGTATAAATTTAGGAAAGGTATTTGCCAGGATTGGTAAATTCTTTTACCACGCTCCCATACTTATTCAATCTGGATTATGAGCAAATGACTTGAGAAGCTGGATTATATGAAGCAGAATGTGATTTCAGGATTGGAGGAAGACTCATTAACCAACTGCAATGTACAGATGATAAAGCCTTCCTTATTGAAAGTGAAGAGTACTTAAAGTACTCACTGATGAAGATCAAAGACCTTCAGTATGGATTGCAGTTCAGTGTAAAGAAAACAGAAATCCTCACCACTAGAACAATAAATAACATCATGATAAATGGAGAAAATTTTGAGGTTGTGGAAGAATTTATTTTACTTCAATACACTATAAACACTCATGGAAGCAGCAGTCAAGAAGTCAAATATATTGGATAAGGAAAATCAGCTGCAAAAGACTTTAAAAGTGTTGAAGGTCAAAGAGGTCAGTTTGAGGATTAAGGTGTGCCTGACCCAAATCATGGTATTTTCAATAACCTTATATACATGTGAAAGCTGGATAATCAATAAGAAAGACAATAGAAGTAATGATGCATTTGAGTTATGTTGTTGGACAAGAGTATTGAAAGTGTTGTGTACTGTCAGCAGAAAAAATTAATCTGTTGGAAGAAGTACAAAAGAAACACTCTTTAGAAGCCAGGATGGCAGACATCGTACATCATATTTTGGACATAATACCCAGAAGGATCAGAAACCTGAGAACAACAGCATGCTTTGTAAAGTGGAAAGCCAGCAAAAAAAAAAAAAAAAAAAAAAAA